TCTGACATTTCCTCCCTGATAGAGATCTGTGGACGTGTGAAGGCAAACCTAGGGACGGTGTAGGGGAGAGTAGTGGGTGTATCATGTGTTGAAGGATAGAAATGCCTTGGGGGTGATGGGCGAACAATTGTTTCGCTTGTAACCGCCTTACACCTTTGAACTAAGTAGTCTTCTCTGGATGACTGCTACATCAGACATATCTGACGTACACTGGAGAAAAAAAAATCAGAGACGTTGTCTGATAACTGATGTAAATTTTTACAGGACAAAACTTTGCATGGAGCAAGTTTGTAAATCACCTGTATTTGTGGTCACGCCTTGTCGGCGAGATCTGAGGGCGGGAATTATGGCGGGGCACGCGCGCGGCACGAGCGCCACACAGGTTCCCACCACCGTGTGGGCCGGCCTGGCATGGGAGCGGGGATTTACGACAGACACACACGGTACTCTCCAAGCAGAGGTTGTGGGGGAATGATCGTTAGCTTTTTATAAATACTTTATTCGCAAAATCATGCCCGTTGGCTAATTGCTTTTACAATCAAGTATGATACTCATTACACAGTAACAGGAGACAGGTAACAACTATCTGGAAAAAACTTCTACTTCTACTACTACGCTAGCTATTATGGGGTTCGACTTCTTCTTTGAAGGCAGTGGATAATGAATAGTCCCACATTCTGCATAATTAGGGGGTTTTGTGATCTTAGTAGAAATGCAGTTTTTGGGTGATCTTCTAAATGACGAAAGGATGGAGAAATTGTTGTAACTGTCTGAAATAAATGGCCGTTTTTTGTCGCTAGTCGGTGGCCGGCGACCTTCTCTGGCTGGCCAATTTGATACTGTCTTTTTTGCCACCGAAAGGGATCTGCTTGGAGATTAACACACGGTACGGGAGTTCTGAACCTCGGACACGGCCACATGTGCAGATTTCTCTAGTCTTCATCGGACTAACAACAAGGGTTCAAAAACAGTAACATTTAGTCAAATAGTGAGAATAATTAGCCAGGGGAGTGTAGCCACCGTAGAGTTAATTTGCCCGCATAGTTAGGGGAAACTAGCCCTCCCGTGGACTCGGAGTTCTGGCTAATTATTGTTTTTATTCTCCCCTTTTTTTGCATTTGACGAATTCTGCAATCCTTAGAAAGTCCTAGTGGAGGCTCAACCACTGTGATACGGTCGATGTTCAGGAGAACTTGCACTTCTTGTTCCGCCGCTCAGAACCTTTCAGCGTGCCACTAGGTTCTCTTCCTGTTCTCATCAATACACCGTCAACATACCTGTCTCCAAGTCATTTTACAACAACAGCTTCTTTCCCCGGACTGCGAAATTATGGAACTCTCTTCCAAACAGTTGCTTTCCGTCCTATTACAATCCACAAAGCTTCAAAACAAAGGTCCACCGCCATCTCCTGACATAACTACATTTTCTCACTTAAGTACCTCTAGCTCTATGCCTAGAAGTGGCCAAAAATAATTGGCCTTGCATTGAGCGACACGGTTAAAAAAACTACTCTCCAAGCAGAGGTTAATTGGGAAGATTGTGATGACCTCTGCTCTTTGTCACAATGTGAAAAGACACAGTTATTTGAGAAATGTGTTTTCCATATTGTCAGCAATTTGTGGATTAGTAGTGGAAATACGTTGTGCTGACAAAAAAATACCAGTACAAAATAGAAACCCCGATAAAAACGCCAAAAACAAGCCGATGCCTAAATCTCTGCTTGGAGAGTAGCGGAAATAGTTTTAGAAGTGCATGTGTGGTCTATTAGATGGTGTCTTGCCTAAAAAATTGTGGCATGACAATAAATTCTATACTGCAATTGATCCAACTCTGTACTATAATTTCAGAAGTGGTCGCCTCAGCGAAAAATATCATTTTTACAAGGGTTACAGATTATCATTGAGTGTGGTTCTTACTTGAATTTCAAACTTAACGCCGTACCTTTTCACAAAACTTGTCCAAACAAAGGTGTGTGAGTTGGAAGGGAAAATTGGGACCGTTCAAAGATGGATGGGTTGTATAGGCTCACCTGGGGGGATGGCAGTTTTCTTTCATCTATCATTCTGTCAATCTGTTCCTGATGAGCACAAACGGTCTCTGGGGACTCTTCACTGTCATCATCGGGCAGGTGTGTCCGAGCCATGGGGGCCTTAGGTATCGGGTTACCTTGTTTGGCTAGCTGTTAAAGGACCATTATGTAACGTTTTTGCAATTTTGAAAATTGAAACATTCTAAATTAGAAAAAAAATCTTCATGCAATTGTAATTTACTTCCACTTCTATCTTGGTATACTTATTGTTTCACATTTCTGACATTTATTGTTGGGGCTAAAACGACCCACACGAGGTGCAATCAGTTTGTGGTGCCACCAAGAACTACCAAAATGTAAACATATGGCTGAAAGCTGTGTTTTCAACTTTAAACGCACTCGTAAGGTGTCATATTTTGGAACATCCTCTTCCTGAATGAGTACGGTTGCTTAAACTGTTAAGAAATGACCAGCAAATTGACTTTTTGTGCCATCCTAATGTTACTGACTGGACAATACTGTCTTTTTGTCACCTTTGGATCTGCTTGGAGGTTACTACTTTATACCCGTCTTTCTTTTGTTTCTCTCCTCCCGTCTGCCAACCTCCAATATCACAAGTCTCTACCAGACTAACTACGCTGGCTATATATAGGAGAATAATTGCCAGGGGAGTTTGGCCGCCTTGTATGTTTGACTGGGAAAGAAACTATCTCCCCGCGGCCGGACTCCCTTGGCCAATTTTACTCTCTTTTGTGCCGAATTCTACCATCCGTATTCCCGTAGAAAGGCCTGATGGAGGCTACAATACCACCATGGTCCACCCTAGATGGACATGTCAAAAGTTCCTAATGTGTCGCGCTGAATTTGTGACATTTGACTGACCCCGTTGGTTAAACTAACCCGGGATGACATCTGATTGTTCGCGGAGAAATTGACCACCGTTCGGGTCACGACCTTTGACTTCTGTCGCCGGCGCCTTTCTTGTTCCACTGGTCATTACGAGAATCACGTCAGTTTTTATCACGGTAAGAGATGCAAAACTGCTAAAGTGTGAATAACGCAAAGTAATTCCTTATTACACAAGGAAAGTGCTCAACTCGGAACCAAGAGGTCCCGAGTTCGAATCCTGCCATGCCACCGGTCTCGTGTCCTTAATTAAAGGCTCTTTACACGGCTTTCCTCACTTAACTCAGGTGAAAATGAGCATTGTCCATTGTCCTCTGCGTTGGAGGCGGCATGAAAATAAAGAAAAAAACTTGAGTGTGCCGTCCCCATATCTTTTATAAAATGTTGGAATAAAAAAAAATCATCCTTTATAAATCTGGACAGAACACATGTAACATAGCTTCTACATTTTCACCCAAAAATGATAAGGTTCAACGGAGAACATTAAATGGGAAGTCAAATAGATAGTCTCTGGTAGCTGCTGGAAAGAGTAGAAATACAACATGTCGGGAGTTGGTCCGCTAAAGGATGTTGTCGCTCCCATTTGGAGGATATTATACCATTTCCTTAGGCTTCTGAAGCTTGATAGAAGCAACAAATAGGGCTGAATTGACATTCTGAGTGAAATAAATAATGACAAAGTATTTTGGTAGACCCCATGTCTCAAATCTTAATGGGATCTCTATTACAATTTCAGCCAGACATGTCTTTTTTCTTAGTCTTTTTCGATATGTCTATGATCAGTTAGTAAACTGTCGATACTTAGACTACAGTAGACTACATATTAGACATCCCTCATATTTACTGGCTTCAAAGTTTTTCTGGCAAGCAAAACGCGTGTCCTTTTGTTCTTCATAATTCCTTTGACATCAATTTTTTCCTGATAAGAAATCTGACATTTCCCCCTGAGCGGCGCGTACAAGATCCTTGGACAATGGGGTTACAAAATGGGCTTTTAATTAAGCAGTGTTTTTGTGGATGACATGGATGAATTGTGCAGGTGCTGAGAGGTAGTTAGTTCGGCTGTTAATCCTGTCCGGAGGCTGACCGGGGCATTGTGGGTCAAACAATAGGACGACGTTTTGGCTCGCGGTGATCCATACATCATTGAGTCGTCTGATGGCGCGCTTCTCTGCAAACTCTCAGGTTTTTAAGTTGATAAGAGGTGTCCTTTAGATCCTTATCTCAGCAGACACATTACTTTTACGTGCTGGACTGACTAGAAATTTTCGAAGAATCTTGAGGCGACCATTTGCCTTCAGGCGCCGCGTTGGAAAGAAGTAATTTGTTCATGTAGTTACGAGTTTTTTTTTCTGCCTTTTGCCTGTACGAAATAACTGCCCATCTATTCCTCTTGGAGTTTGTCTGTGATAACATGAAATTAAGTGTCACCTTTTTAACGTTTTAAAGACATTTTCAAGAAATTAATTAAACAGTACAAAAAATCACATTCCAATTAATTGGAAGTTTATATGTACATTGAGACTTCCTTGCCTGATATCAAACCATATTTTTGACATTTTTGTAGAGATTGCTATTACTGTTGTACATACGTAATTGCGATGGAAACAGCCTCTTCGCTGAGCGCAGTTTTTGTACCAATGGTCCATCGTAAGCACTGAACCAATTTCTCTGTATCCCCATTATACATGTAGCTCTTACGAAGGACCATCGGTACAAAGTTGTGCTAAGCGAAGGGGCTATGTTCAACAGCGAAGTGGGTGTTATATAATGCCACAGTAACAAAGTACACTGTTTAAAAAGGAAAAACATGTATGGAATTCTATTGCGCTTGTAACGTTATCAAACGTACATGTTATACACCAGCTCATTATGTACCCTTGTCATTTCTTCTTCTTATTATTATTATTACTTTGTTTTATTGTTTCCTTTTATGTGTGAGGAGAGGGCTGAGATAAGTTTTATAACTTTTTGCCTCATCCTCGGAAAATAAATGTGAATAAAATAAAATAAACGTACATGTAGTTACTGTTTTAAAAGTTGTCTGGCTGCTAGACGTGCTTGTATTTCACGTCAATGTCGCTAGGGGGCGCTCAGTACACGTCGCGGTGCGCGGCCATGAACAGGCGCCACAGCTCCTCCCAGGAGGCCTTGGCGTCGCCGCATCCCGCCTCGTCCAACACCTCACACAGGGCAGGCTTCATAAGCTGAGGAGGGAAAAGAAAAATCAATGTTTTCAAGATTACATTTGATGCCTTTAACTGAGCAGTGAATGAAAGCTGATCTGTGTTGGTAGAATCCATGGCTATAGAGTTCAAACTTCAGCTGGGTTCCAACACAAGGAAGAAATTCACCATAAATTTTCAGTCGATCTCGTCAAACTTTGTCAGATGTATGATGCACGCGCTGAACAAAGTTTAAACTCTATTGTCTATAGGCTATTACGAAGGACCATTGGTACAAAGTTGTGCTCAGCGAAGGGGCTATATTAAACAGCGAAGGGGCTATATCAAACAACGAAGGGGCTATATTAAACAGCGAAGTGGCAACACCTCACACACACTAACTATTCGTTAGTATATGCTGACTTACGTCGATCTGGTCGTGAGTCATGCCGGCCGCCTTGTGGAGTCGTGCGGCCTTCTTCACGGCCTCACACCCGCTGCCGTCCAGACCTTTGATGAAGTCATCCAACACCTGAATTACCTAGCGAACAAAAACAAGCTATGTAATTATGGTGGGGGGATTCTTCCTACCTAAACGGGCGCCGTAGGGGTGTCGGGGGCATGCTCCCCCAGAAAAGTTTGAAAATGGAACCTTTTGAAATGACAGTTTTGCGTTTTTGAGAGGGCTATGAAAGACAAAATAGGACAAATAGTATTCCAGTCCCGCTGGTGATACACATCAGCCCAACTTTTAAGGAAAAATCTTCTACCTTTAGATAAAAAGTGGACCTTTGATCAGGCGTGTTCTTCCGAAATGTAAAGGTCTTTACCTACTTACCTTCCCACCATGCTCACGGACGGCGTCATTACCAGCAAGTTTGCTGTATGGGATGTCTTTGAACTTCTTGAAGTTCGCCTTAGTAGAATCATTCTTGAGTAGCCTGGATATTAGAAAGATACAGACAGACTTTTCAAAAATGGCGTGAGTACAAAAGTGCATACATACACTTTTGAGTCGAACAACTTTGTCCTCAGAAGGCCTTAACCTTCTCGAACGAAAACAGTCTAATACTTTTTTTCATGTTTGTAGAAGTATTAAAATTTATACGGGCTATAACATAAAAAAATAATCTGAGGTGGACAATAGAAAAAAACACACGGGAAGCGTAGACAACACTGCACAATCACTCGCAAACGATAGATAGTATACCAAGGAGTGGTGAAAATCGGGCGAAGTTAAGAAGGCTTACTTGAGAAAGACTTTCTCGCCAGCGTCTTGGAAGGACGACTGGACCAGCCGTGTCCAGGATTGCTCCACGGCCGTCTTGTCAGCACCACGGAGACTCATTCTGACTTTTTGTACGGAAAGTGGTTCTTTTTTTTAATATGGAAAGATTTTAAAGAACGTTACTTGTGTTATGTACTTTTACAATTGACCAAAAATATATTAAAAACATCAATCTTGAAAAAAATGTATTGAGATGGTCGAAAAAGTCCGGACTCTTGCACCTTCTTGTATGGAAAGTGGTTCTTTATGGAAAGATTTCAAAGAACGTTACTTGTGTTATGCACTTTTACAATTGACCAAAATATATTAAAAACATAAATCTTGAAAAAAATGTATTGAGATGGTCAAAAAAGTCTCGTCATCATTACTAAGACCCATTTTGCCTATTTGTACGGAATGCTTTTATTAAAAACAATTTCACGTCACTTGTAATTGTGTTTATACTCTTACAATTGACAAAATATAATAAACACTAATCTGTATAATATGTATTGAACTGGTCGAAGTAGGTTTAAAACTACTTTGGTACAAGTTTCCCCATGCCCATCATGCAAGAACACAACACAATATAACACAACATACCTTCTCTTCAGACCGTTCCCGACAAACTGATGTGGTCTTGCTAAGGACACGTTCCTTTATATACACCTATACACTTAACTTGTGATGCAAGACTGAAACTGGAACCTTTGTTATTTCTTTGTCAAGTGGTCAAGCAATGTCAAGGATGAGAAAAATAAAGTTCAAAGTAAACGGACGAATAAAAGTACATATTATAAAATATTGGATATTACCGTAGATCAAAAGACGTATGCTTCAACGAAGATGTATCTTTGCCTCTTTCTTTTGATATCAAAAACTAATATTTAATATTTGTTCTGAGCAGTTTTGGGCAGCAAAGAGATGTCCCTTTTGAGGAAATAGGCCAGCCTCTACCAGTCTTCGGGAAGCGGCTGGTAAGAGTAGAAATTGGTCAAATAGACAGATGATGTACCAGTGGAGTTGGTCCGCGCTAAAAGAACAGTTTGCCACTCCCAGGACCAACTCCACTGGCATATATTATCTGTCTAGTTGTCAAATTGCTTCTCTTTCCAGTCGCTTTCCGAAGCCTCGTAGAGGCTAGAAATTGGCCTACGTGCAGTTTGGAACGTGTGCGTCCTCCAACAGTCGGTGTACCGGTACGCTGTTCACCCTCCATGCCGTGTGTTTACAGAGAGGCCCCCGGGCAATTTGTTACGCCACTCGGTTATGTACTGTGTTATGACAGCTCTATCACTTACGCCATGCTAATGAAACTTTAGCTGACTTTCTAGATATGGGCATAGAAAGGAGGGCTCTTTGCAGTTAAAACATCAATTTCAACATTACAACACTGTCCAATTATTCAGGTCGTGCTGATTAAACTTAAACTGACTTTCTAGACTTGACATGAAGAAAGGAAGGCTCTTTGCCGTTAAAACATCATTTAAAACATTAAAGAAAAGTACGAAAAAAAGCCACTTGTCCTTCGCTTTTTTCCAACACCAACCCCTAGCCCTCTGAGGGTTCACACTTCACGGACGAGGCCAGGGCTAGTGCGCGGCCTAAAGGTAAATAAAGGACTTGAAAGGTCTTGAGTGAATCCTGGCTGACCAGAAAGAATAAGATGAAGAGGCGAGTCCATTTCCAACAACATACTTAAACTCATTTGCTTTACTCATCCAAAATGTAGCATAACAAGAAAGATAACGCACGAACCATGTACCAGATCTCACTCCTATGTGCGTATTTTGTACCATGTATGTGATGATATAAACGGTATATTTGTTATAAAATGTTGTCTGAACCTACCTTACCTCTTACCTCAATTAAAAGCGGCCTGTAGGTCGATATTTGAGCTTCTCATGAATAAAGAATGATTCAAACAAACAAACAAACAAATCTCTAACACCATCGATATTGTGTATCCACACAAAACGCTACCCACGGCCATTACACCAGAGAATTACCATCTTTTTAGAGGGATACCTGCTGGTAATGGTGATACATGAAAGATATCCATAATTTATCATTAATTCTCGCCGATACTTATGGTACATCTAAAAAAAAAGACTTTCCTAATTGAATGCAATGGTAGCTATGGAATGGCTATATAGCTATACACTGGCATTCTGAATGAGCATCATTCTTATTACTATGACAGCTAAGAACACAAGTATTTTATTAGCAACGTTTGGCCTTCATCAGAGTGATTAATATTCTTTTAAAAACACCCCTATAATACTGAGTTCTACTGCTTATTTCTTCTGTCATTGCCACGTTTACTCTGAGAACCTCACTATGTATGTCACAGAGGTACAGGTACTACGGGTTCCTATCTCTTTACAAATATACAGAAAATAATGAACTTTATTGCTCGACAATCGTGTATGGTGCAATGTATTACAATGGAAGTAAAACTTAATTTAACTTAATTAAACTATCCTACAACTAAAACTACAAAATATTATCGATAACAATATACGAGTTACAATATAGTTGCAGATCTAGATTCTATAACTGTTTTCTTGCTAAATTTTTCGATTCGTCCGTACATCTATGTGGCACCATTGGTTTTCCCATACGTTGACTATTGTATCTGGGCTACACGGGTATCTGTATCTGTATATGTATAGCCGGTATAACTGCCTTTCGGCGTAACACACCAGCTTCGCAGGCACGCGGCGCGGCGGCAGCTGGCTATATTACACCGATCGACTTGTTACACCTAACCCTTGAACTTCTAACTCTAGACATTGTTTAAAGCTATCTAATGACAATGCCTCTACTGTACTTGGTGACAGTGAGTTCCACTCTGCGATAGTTATATGTGTGCCCAAGTGCGTTACCAGTGCTGTATAACCATGTCCAACATCTTGGTGTACGTCGTCTTGGACCACTCTATAGTGGTGGTCTTGGTGTAACCACCAGAGTTGGAGGTGCGAGTCTTGATGTAGTGCGTCATCCTGTCCCGGCGTAAGGACCCAGCCCGCTTCCGCAGCGTGTAGACGTGGTACACCACGTTCAGTACCACGGACACCGCGTACCCCGTCGCCAGTACCGCCAGCGCCGTGGTACCGTACCAGCGGTACGGGCTGAACACGTACCACAGCGTGACCATGGTGTAGTTCTCCACCGTGACCAGGATGGTGTTGGTCACCAGAGGTACCACGGTGTGCTGCCGGGTGAACGTCACCCAACTCACCACGTCGATCGGCGCCACGGCCAGAATGCTGACCCAAACGGGCTGGAGCTTCAGCTGCTGTTCCTCCCCCTGTACCGCGGCTTGCGTCTTCCCCACCTTGAATGAATGAATGAACTGGTTTATTTATCATATACAACACACATACCATTGTAGCCTTACATGGCTGAATTGGGGCATGATACACATTAAAGTTTATCAATAATGGTTCAGCAGCTCAACAATAAAAGATAAAACACTATTCTTAAACCTAGACGTCCTGCAGCTAAACTGCGTGAAGTTGTCCTTTGATCTCAGTTCTCTGCCATGCAGGCGTCCACGTTTAGGAGGTAGCCAACCAGAGAAGTTGGGAGATTTAGCTGTCGACATTGCAAAGTTTACACATAGGTTACGGCGTCTCAAATACAAAGGTGTGAGTGATAGTTGTTCTATTGCTCTGTCATAGCTAACATAGTTTCTGCCTAGGATTATCCTGCACGCCCTCTTCTGTACTACTTCTATGTACTTAGACTGTGAACTAGTCAGACCTGGGTGCCACACTGGACAGGCGTACTCTACCAAAGGCCGTACAAAGCCACAGAATACAAGTACCTTGGTTTCCACTACCGCCATGACGACCCAGTGCAGGGCAATAGGCAGGGCGATGTACGGCATCAGGAGCGAGCTGAATAGCGCGATGGTGGCCACCCTGCAGCACACCTCCACAATCTTCCACGCTGCGAACAGCACGTTACTGACGACCTGAGTCCCCTTCTTGCCGCGCTTCCAGTAGTAGTACTCGTACACCATCAGGGCCTTCACGGCGGCAAGCAGGGAGGTCGTAACCGAGAAGATCATCTGAAGGTTCACGGGCGGAGTTGGAGAACCGCCCGTCTGGGCACTACTAGTGGCCGTCCCGGTGTTGTCGTGGATGAAAGAGATGTTGACGATGCCGGGCTCCTCTCCTTTGCTCCTGTAGTGCTGCACGATGGTGATGTAGAGCTGTAGACACAGCTGCGGCACTGCTTCCAGCATCGTCTCCACTAGGTGAATCTGCGGCAGGAAAGCGTACTTACTGTCCCCGATGTCAGACCCTCTCTTAAACCGCTGGTACAGGACCCAGTAGTCCACGAACACGCCCAACTGTAGCACGCACAGGACCAGCACCCACCACCCCCGGGTGATAACCCTGTCCATCTCCTGGTTTTCATTTCCTAAACAAACCCACGTCCACACCTGCATGACGATGGACGGTAGCAGGATGAAGGCTAGAGTCAGTCCGAACCAGGTGTAGTCCCTGCTGTTGTAGTATGAAACCGCTAGGAGGATATCAGTCAGGAGATCCACTAGGTACAAGCCGAGCGGGAAGACCACGATGATCAGGACTTGGACGTAGAAGTTCTTCAGCAGTGACGACAGTTTGTCCCGGCATCCTGCACAGCAACCCTTACCGTCCTCGATCTTAACTGTTGTTGTTTTTTTCTCATATCTTCTTCGTTTTGCCTGATAAAAAAAGAGAAATGTTAGTCGCCAGCATGTTTGTCTTCCCTGTGTATTTTATGTTAGCCGACAGTTTTATACCATTCTTCAATGAATGAATGAATGAAGACCTTTATTGTACAAACATACCCACTGGGTTAGGTACAAAGGTTAACTTGAATACACAAATATATACATGTACACAACAAGATCAATCTAGTACTAGCACTACAGTCTGTTACATAATTTCGACTTCTCTTCGCTTCTCTGTGATGTTGAAAAGATAAGAACATACAAGTTTAAGGATCGAGGGTTTGTCTAAGTTCATTAAAAATGTGAATTTGTCTGTATTACTTAGGTGTGTAAAGTGGGGAAACATCGATGTTATTCGTCTATAAAGTTCAATTCTCGCACTGTTATACAAACTACATTCTACTACAAAATGATGTTCATCTTCTATTCTATCTAGATTACAGTATCGACAAATACGTTGTTCCAGGGGAGTGCGGTTATGTCGACCGGTCTCAATGTGCAGTTTATGGCAGCTGATCCGTAGTTTTGTGACGGCGTTTTTGTGCCGTGTGTTGTCGATATTTAGGTACTGTTCTTCATTGTAGGCCAATTTGAACAGTCTATAGGTCCTAAGTTTGTTTTTAGCAGGACCACCTCTGGTGTCATTGTGTATTTCTTTAAAGAAGGTTTGGATGTAAATGTCTTTTAGTCGCTGATGGATGGAGTTAATAATTTGAGACGCATTTGTGTTGTATGAGAGGGGACAGTGCCAAATGTAACCATAACCACACTCTTCCAGGGACTTTCGCACTCCTGATGCCCAACATTTGGCTCCAGCTTTGTCTAACTCTAGCTGACAAGATAGAGCGTCAGCTTGAAAACTATCGGCTGGTACTTTCTGGCGTAGTCTAAGCAAGTGCTTGATAGCGTTTAGGGTGGCTTCCACTTGAATGGGAAACCTCCCTAATTCCGCTCTTACAGCGAGGCCACAAGCTGATCTCGGGACGCGAAGGGTTTGTTTACAGAATTTCAGGTGGATGGATTCGATGGGGCAGAGTTTGGAGCTTTTGACTGATCCCCAGATTTCCGATCCATAAAGAATTGAAGGTTTGACGCAGGTGTCGAAAAGTTTGTTTCTGACGGATAAAGGAGCATCAGCTTTGTCTAATGATTGATTAATACCGAATAAAGCTTTAAGACCTCTACTGTACAAGTGCTTGTTGTTCGCCTTGAAAGTACCAGCAGCGTTAACGACCATTCCTAAATAACAATATGAAGTTACTATCTCAAATTCTGTACTCATCGTCCTTAGCTTGCCAGTTTGCAATTATCCCTCGGGCATGAACTTGCAATGAAAGAGTTAATCTTATAACTCCAGTACATGTACACACCAGTATATAAGAAGGCTACATGTTCAGGAGGAATAGGAACGCTTACAAATACGAAGTGACCTTAAGCTTATATATAACTGTTATTCCCTTGTTGTCCAACCATTAGGTAGAGTCATACGCAACTACTGTTTGCAGATGCGTGAAAGGGCCCGTATCTAGAGGCTAAGACATCAGACTTTAAGAATATTGTACACTGAGGTGTGATATAAGAAACACTTACCTTCCACCTTCCCCCAGTATCCATTGCTGTGGAGAAGGCAAAAACGACGTCTTGGTTTTAAGAGTAAGTCTTGAGAAATGTCCGGCAAGTCTTACCGCGTCCAGGGAACAGGTGCCAAAGGTGTGTTTGCGTTCCACACAAAGGTTACGGCACCTCGTGCTCCTGTCGTCACCTCTGACACACAACACAGATGTATATTTCCTGTACCGACCAACGATTTAAACACCTTCCCCGTCAAAAATATACGTGTGGAGGGAATACACGCACGCAAGCTTTTCGGATAGAACAGATCCAAAAAGAAGAAAATGGCGGGCTTCAAGCTTGGGGATTTAGGAAGCTTTGTAAATAATTTCCCAACCGACAACAGAACTAACAAAGAGTGAGCAAACAGAGCTACTCCGGACATAAATTTATTTTGCCGGGTCATCATCAGCTACGTTCAGCAAGGACCGCCCATACAGGTAAACAGACCTGTGTGCTTTGGCCCCTTCAAATTGTTGGGAGCCAAGACACAGTCTAACTGGCCGTTGGTACGATGTGATAACGGGACAACAGCAACATTTTTTAACCATTAGCAGCCCACGTGAGCGATACTTAACCTAATTTCATTCTAGAAGGTACTAGTTACCGTGTAGAAGTAGGTAAATATATCAAAGAATGTTTAGACCTTAGAACAAGTAGTACAAGTTGATTCATCTATTGTCTTGTACGTAGGTCAATTTTGTTGTACCCACGTATCTGTCTGCATGTCTACATGTAGTTTAAGACCTTACGAAAGTCACTGTACTTTTGTTGTGTCAATAAAGTTCTTCCTAACACAGCCTAATATGCCCAAGGAGGGTAGAAGGTTAGAGGTTATGCATCAATCTGTAGTCAAGAGGTGGTTGTCCATTGATAGTATTTCGAATATATGCATTCGATGGACCAACAACCATAACAAAATTATGATTTAAGAAATGAAAGACATGACACATAGTTCATACTACACGAATGTATATTTACAAGATGTCAACTTTCCTATGGTGTCTATTTCCTTTTTAATTTTTGTGATACTCCTAAAATGTACATGTACGTAGTGCTGAAGAAAAAAGGAATTCAGCATGTAGATGTGATGTTCATCATCATCATAATCAATTATGCCTGTAGCCAGGGGGGTTCTAAAGGTCCTATATTTTTCTTTAAAAGATAGACTGATTGTATCACCAGTGTGGCTGGAATACTGGAAAAACTGCTCACTTTGTCATTGAATAAAAAGTTACGTCTCATTTTTCCTTTGAAATCCCCTCAAAAATGAAAGAAATGCCATTTCAGAAGGTTCAATTTTCAAAATTATCTGGGGGAGCATGCCAGTAGAAGCCTTGCACCTTTAGCACTCACTGGTCCCTCAGACAATGGAAAGAACACATTCAAAATCCTGGTTATAGGCATGTCAATATTGAAAAAAGTGCTAGACAATAGCATCTACAACAGGTTCTGTAGGATGATATCTCTCTCTTCTGTCAGGAACTTCTTGATAAGAGTGTCCACATGTTCAGAACAGCGCGCGACCTGGCGCTCCATGGCCAATCGGAAGTCTTCTTTCACACCTTTGTGGACTCCTCTCGTCACTGTCCTCTGTCTGAAATCATACAATCATGTATGGAAATTTGATTTAATAGAATAACATGATGATTGAAATCACAAAGGTGTAAAAGAAGACTATACAGAAACGGAAGCTGGTGTGTTACTGTTAGGCCGAAGGGCGGTTATGTTGGCTATACAGATACAGAAGCCGGTGTGTTACGCCGAAAGGCGGTTATACCGGCTATACAGATACAGAAATCATTTAAGACTTGTTGCTTAGAGAATGTTTGCAATGTCTCTTTATTGTGTTTCAAACAGTATTAAAACAATTTATTAATCAATGAAGAGTTGTAGTTCTTATGTGTGTTTTTCCTATAATATCATGGACAGAGATACATTTGTACATTTCCTTATAGTTTCGAATACAATTGTAACAGTCAATATTCAAACTGACAGATATCATATGTCAAATTAACTGGGCAATCAACTTCTACTGGTTAGTGCAATATCAACAGCTGAAATAAGAAAACCAATAAGAACCACGAAACAAGAACGTTAACATCCGTGAATAGTTCCATCAGATTTGGGAATGCATCTGCAGCAGCGACACCTGTGCTGCAGTGCAATGTGAACCAGTCAGAATTGCCCTGAGGAAGGTGACAGATGGTAAAGAGTCTCTTTACTCAAGGACGTTAACGTCTTTCACAATAAGGTTTGTTGCCCAGTCCATACCTCTGAACTGGTGTTGGAGACCTGTGTATGCAGTTAGGCAACAGGATAGAATAAGAGACATGGGAAACCAGCCATGTTAGCAGGAACTATCAGTTAGGCAACAGGATAGAATAAGAAACCAGTGATGTTAGCAGCAACTATCAGTTAGACAACAGGAAGAGTTAGATGGAAAGTTAGGAAAACAAAGTAGTTTGTTACTAATTGTAGCATGCTGAAGAGTGGGGAGGGGGCATCAGGTGAAACTTGACATGTAAAAACGTACCAAGAAACACACAGAATGGAAAGTGGTGAGCAAAATGTGACAGAGAGGATATAAAATCAAAACAGAACAGATACCAGCAATAGTTAAAGATACTAAAGATTAGAGAGCATACACATACAGTATGACAGTCACATAAGGTTCTCACGACATTATACACATGTAAGGACTAGAATGAAAAAGTTACCTTGCACAAGGTAACACTGATAGTGATACTGACATGTGCCTACTTTTTGCAGTGACATTTTATACAGGCACAAGAAAATTCTGAACTGGCCACCTTACCTGGATATGGCTGTTGTGCTGACAGGCAGAAGATCCAGGTTAATTTTGCCACCTTCTGGGGTCTTCAGGAAGGCAAACTCCTCCAGCATATCAATGTCTGACATTCAGTCAAGGTCACACTCGAGATTCTAACCTGATTCCTTGACAAAATACATGCCTGTCACCTTCCTCAGGGCAATTCTCACTGGTTCACATTGCACAGAACAGGTGTCGCTGCTATAGATGCATTCCCAAATGAAATCTACAGCAGTGACACCTGTGCTGCAGTGCAATGTGAACCAGTCAGAATTGCCATGAGGAAGGTGACAGACGGTCATCGAAACGTCAGCTGTGAATAAAACACTTGGTTGTGTAAAAAGAGCGTCTTTACTCAGTAACTTACCAACCTGATGAAACTACATGTACATGACATTGTATTCACGATGAGAGGATGGATGGATGGACAACTTCAATGAAGGAATGAATGAATGATTCTGAAGGATACTGATGACATAGTTGAAGAAGATGTTGTAGGTGAAGCTCCCTTGCTGAACAATCTTTTCCACAGCTTTGATAAACAGTGCCTCCTGGCTGGGCCAATCATACTGCAGCATGACCATCAGGTGACCTAAGGACATGTCATCCTCCGAGTCACCCAGGGCATTTCTCTGCACAAACAAACAAACAAACAAACAAAGTTTTTAAATACGATGTAATCATCACTAGAAAGGGTTGGTGGAAAAAGGAGTCCAGTCCGATTAGGGGGGCGCTACTACAAGCAGAAACCACCCGACTACTTTTTCCACCCCCAAATCAGACTGGACTGCTATTTCCGCCGATTGGACTGGACTCCTTTTTCCACCAACCCTCACTGGAAATCTTTTGAAGATATTGGTCTTGAATGATTTATGTCTTAGAAACTAACAATCAGTTAATGAAATGTAACTTTAGAATGGTTACAGACTGAAAATACTGTAACTACAGTTGAACTTTGCAGAAAAAACCTAGCTTGATTCTATATTCTAAAGCAGGTAATTATCAAAGTTTAAACTGCCTATTTCATTCGTGATTGGTCAGACTGTTTAAGTGCCAACTTCTGATTGGCCAGTTTGAGTACCCACTTTGAGACATGTGACCAGCACATGCACACAGTAGGGAAGGATGTCAGCTTCTGTACAGGACAGCATCAGTAACTGTCGACCTGAAAAAAAAAGAATGAATGAATGAATGAGTGAATGAAGGACTTTACTGTACATACATACCCACTGGGTTAAGTGCAGGTCACAGCAAAGGAATACTAGTAGCTTTTTTCTACTGTAGAAGACATGTACAATGAGATAGGATTGAACCAACTTACTACTTTTTTTTAAAAGAATGGCCAGAAGTTTGAAAATCCAGTTTTTGACGCCCTGAAATTGCATTGGATGACGTTAAAAGTCACCATAGACAGTCAAAACAATCCACTGCATACAAACTAAAAACCACCTGTGACTTACTTTCTTTGTCAGCTTTCTGCTGTTTAGATGGAACAGTATCCCCAGGCTGTACTTCTACTGGCAGCTCTGCAATGGCATCCAAGGCAAGCTCACATGCTCTCTGTACAGGCAAAAAAGTTGATTTCTTTACAACATTTTACTACTAAAGGCCTAGGAAGAAATGTTGTGTTTCCTGTTTCAGTCCTAAAACAATAGGGTCAATAGGTAGGGATTTTCTTTTCTTTTTTTTAAGACTTTGGTAGTGATCTCTAGTGATCCAACTTATACAATACAGTTTAACAAAGCAAAACTTGCATGAGAACACTTTTTTCAATGTCAATGTTGGAAAACTGATCATACAATGTTTCATTGTTCAGGTGTCAGATCATGGAGCTAGAAAAGTTCATGTATCTTTTGTGTCATGTATCTGAATTGCATGTATTTTTCCAATTTTAGGGTGATCAGTGTTGTTGATTATCTACCACATATTTTAAAGGCTTTATTACAGTAAAAACTCACTTGATAATTGCCAAGACAGAATTGACAGGAGCTAAGCTGGAGGGACAACCTAAGGAGAGTCTGAAAATAGACAAAATACAAATCCATCAGTCATTGTTTATACATAAAAAAGTATTACTATCTAGATAAACCACACAAACCCAAATCTAAGGCCACAATATCTGTGCAAGTGAAACAAGGTTGAAGTACAAAATGAACTGTTCAGTTGACATAGATAGTAAAGAAGGAATGTTTCAGACAAACGACAAATATACCTGTCTGTTATCCTCCTGGTCCTTACCACTACAGCTACCCAACAACTCCTCCAGTAGACTGACAGCTTTCTGTTGGTCTCCCTGCAAAGTAGAGGCATCAGGAACTAAATGCAGGTTCAGGGCTCAAAATACTGGGTGTATATGGACCTTAGTGCACGTAAAATTAGAGCTGTGCAGGTATTTCTGTTGTCTACCTGAACTGGTCCATGTACTGGGTTTATATACGTACATGTAGGTGTACATATGTATGTGGATTTTTATTTGCTGCATGAGCTGTTACCACCAATGAAGTATAAAAGAAATAATGGCAGTGGTTTCTGAACAGTATTTAGTATGACCTATACTTGCTAAAGCCTGATCGAGTGGTACAGGTAAAATTTGTCTGAAGCAGGTTATTTTCTATGTTACCTGCACCAGTGCAATTACAGAAAAAAAACTAGAAAGGTAACATTTGCAAGCAAATGCAATATGTTTACCTCAGGATGGTCTTGCCTACGATTTAACGTTATACCGTTATTGGGAAAGGATGGGTAGAAGGATATTTTGCTTATATTACTGACTTTTATGTACTGTTATTATAGAGTAACATTAACGTTATAACTGGGGAATTTGAATGTTTTTGCCGTTGTAAGGCCAAGTTTAAAATCTACCGGTCTGCCACTCAAAGATCATTACCATAGACTAGTCTTGTAGTGGCATGTATAGGAGATACTAGTATATATTATACAATCAGCACACACTCTTACCATGTTTGCAATTAGGCCACAGCATGTAACTTTAATCAATGACATCCTCTGCAGACTGCAAGTAAACTTCAAGTCTTTTTGACAGCTTTAATTACAAACGACTTTGTTGAGCTCGTCTCACAACCTTATTACATTTTTGTAAATAGTAAACAGGACGTATGCTGAAATAATAATGATAATAAGTTTATTATTATTACAAATACATGACAGAAGGCTCATTGTAAGTACGTATATCATATACATATAATGAAATGACATACAATGATATGAAGAACCAATTCCTATAGTACACTTTAGTCTTTATACTACAGTACATAAGATATATATCAAGCCAGTTTTGTTGGGTTCTTTTGATTGCCGAGCCAGTCAATTATACCCACTTCTATAATAAGTGTTCTTTGAACATTAATATGAAAATCATTGCAATGATGATGAAAATCTACAGTTGTGTAAAATATTGGAACTACACACTCTATAAAACCATACATACATACTTAAAAAGCTATACATGACTTACATATATTATGCAACTTAACATACATAATGAATATTTACTGGCCAAATTGGAGATATAATGTGTTTCGAAATGGTAGCGATGTGCATGTATGTGCTGTATCCTTCTGTGGATGGCTGGGTTCAGCTCTGTTAGGTTCCTCCCCAGTTTCTCACGGACCAAGTTCTGCTTCCTTTCCTAGTAGAGGATACAAAAAGGAGAGTAAGCAAAGTGAGCAGAAACTGATAATATATGTCTAAGTCATTGGACCACAAAAGGAAAGCATAATACATATGTATACAAATGTATAAATATATCAGTCGGGGTCCAAGAGGGTATATAATATATGTCAAAGGGGGTATATGATATATATCAAAATTTTACAGCAGACCAATTTGTTAATACAGAGAACACTGTTGTCTGTATGCAATGAAAGAATAACAACGCAAGCATAAGACTCAAGTTACAAATTAAGTGAAACCAGACGTTCACATATTTCTTCATATATATTGAAGCCCCAACACTATTTCTTCTGTCAAATTCCTATAGGAAATTATCCTTATTATGAGAGCTAACTTCACGGGATATGCATCATCGGGATGCGGAATTTTTCGGGATAGGCGTCCCGATAAATCCCGCGAGATATCCGCGTGTCTTGCGTACCGCGGAGCGAAAAAAAAAACAAACTTGATGCGAGATCTCAAAGTCTACCGCGGGTCCTATCACCGATGGCGGCGTGCCAAATGTTTTACGTCCTGTCGGGCGATCTGGGCAGGGCCAATGGAGCACCCTGACGTCAGTCAACATTGCCATAATTGTGTATATTGTGTACAACGCGTTCCTCACCCGGTCATAGCTGAACTGCTAAATTTTTAAAAAGCTCTTGTGCAGCGAAAACTCACAAAACTGTAAGAAAATAGCAGGAATGAATTTGTAATAACCTCTTCGTCTCCAGTGAATTTTTCGGCAAGTTTTATATATAAACAATCAATCTGTCAAGTTTATAAACCATCTAATAAAACGGGGCGTACCGGCTGGAGTTGAGTTTCATTGTGACATATTGTACTAAATTGGCTTGTTGAAGTCTTCTCGTGTTCTCGTGAGCGTCAAGTAGTCTCTGTATTACGAAAATTAGGAAAGTTTGCCCATCAAAATCGGGGCATGCGTCTCAGTCCCCTCCCCAAACACGTATGAATAAACCCTTGCATCAACAATCAACAACGATCCGGCCACGTTCATTCACGTACGTATTACCCTGAAAGCAAGTTCTTCAATGCGGCTGGCAAAAATTCTTCCGGTGGAAAAAGCATTCTAGTTCTCGATGTCACTTGTGAAAAACGTTTTGGAATGAAATCGGGATGAGAAAAATAGAATGCCGCGTGCAGGGCTGAGGCGGAAAATCGCTACAATACGTCAGGCGGCAGAAGTCTCTGGGGCGGAGAATCGAGCCTTTGAGTTTGAAATCTTACCTCCCAGCCAGTGGGCGGGTCCCCGTCTGTGTGCTGTGATTGGCGCCGCGCGGTCTGCTAGCTATGCTGCGTGTCGTTTCTATGGCAACATGTGCCAGTCCCAGCAACACGAAATGTATCAATTCTTGATCGTCGTAAACAAGCCAAGGGCGTAAAGAACCTTGGAATTATGCTTCGCCCCCTCTTTTGTATAATGTTTAATCTCTCTTCCGCAACTCCGTGCGTCGACCTCCCATATCTAGGAGAAGAACTTCTCGAGTGGCTGTGTTAGATCGATTTTATATCTGAGATAGCGCGGGTCGGGTGACATCAAAAGCAGTACTTAGCGGGCTGTCCACATCGCAAGGTCAGACAAAAATTCTCGTACCAAGACGGTTGTATTATTTTGTTATCGTTCTAAACATTATTAAGCCACTAAAATTTTCGATATCAAAAAAAAAACAACATTTGATTAAAAACACTATTCGTTTGTGCTACTGTTATCATCATGCATAATTTGGAAACAAACATGCGCTGCACCGTCTGTCTGTAAAAATCTTAGTCAACATGGTTCCCGAAAAATCCCGCGGGATATCGCCATGAATCCCGATTTGATGCTTATCCCGTGTACTGTACTGTGTTATCCCGAAAAAAGATTGAAACTGTCTGACAAAACGACAAAATGTAATGTTATACTAGTATCCATGTTAATTGTTATATCATGAGTAATAAACGTAAACAAACGCCCCCCTCCCCCTGCCCCGCACCTACATAATACAAAGTCGACAATAGTTACGGATGAACACAATTCTGTTTAATTTATTTTCAAAACAGCAACAAGCCTAAATCGCTAAACATACGAGATTCTATCAAGTCAGGAGCTAGTAAATTACTAGAGCTTTATTTTTAGATTTGAGCCGGCTAGTTAATTGCTAGTGTTTTTTTTTTGAGCCGGCGATGACATGCAAAAAGTTAAACAAAGTCTCCCGCGTTCTGTGGAAATCTGCAGTCCTAATTGTGGATATTGAACCCAAAATCCCAATGCAATATTCTCTACTCGAGACTGGTATTCATATGACCGTATTTTACGAAGAAAAATGAAAACTTACCGCTACATTGGTCCACTGATGTCTTCTCGTGTCATACAAGGGCGGATGCCCATATTTGGAAAGCTCGGGTGTTCCGTGCGTAGCGCTAGGGTCAATGACCCGCGGTTATCGAACACGCTGTTCCATTGTTCCATGGTTGTTCGAATGTTCCAAACGCGTTCTTTTTGTTCGATTTTTGGCTTAAAACGCAACTTTTTTTACCCATTTTTTGCCAATAAAATCATTTTCTGACATCTATGTTGGCCAAAATGACCAAGGTTCAATGTCTAACGTATCAACCTACTAGCATGCTGAATTTCATTTTCCTCCAGGCTCTAATTACGAAAATATCTACGATTTTTAGGTGTTTGGAGAAGAAGAGGAGGAAATGAGCAAATATAATATGTTTTCCTTCGGTAAACATAATTAAAGGATTTTGATCCATGTAAATCCAACAGGCAAGTATTCCTTCATCTTCATCTTCATCTTTGCCGGGGCTCAAAGATGTTATGTGAGCCCCGGCTACACCCTCCTACTTTAGGGGGGGGGAGGCCTTGGTTTAAGGCGGGCAGGCCTCCAGCCTGGCCCGGAAGGACTCAACGGTGGGAGCCATAACTACCGGGCCAGGCGTAAAAGATAAACACCCCTGATTCCACCCTGTAAAAGAACAAGCCTGTGCTACAAGCACACATCCTCTACCTGGTATAGAAGCATGTCGATGATGAAAGACTGTAGCCACACCCACCCCTCAGTCTTCCAGTGTTGGTTCAGTCTGCTGAAGTCTGGGAAAATGACAAGTTTTCAACATTTCATTCTCATGGCATTCAGGACATTCAACAACTCCAAGGATTCTTTTTTTTTTCAAATACAGTCAAACTGGCGATCCCATAATATTTCTTGCTATTTATCATTAAAAAATGTCTTCCACCACATGCTTGAAAATGACGCAGTGGTCATAGCCTGGGCAGAGATTGCACAAAATAGTACCAGTCTGGGTTGCTTTGGACAAGTGTTCAGTTCAGGCAAGTCCCTTAATGCTTACGTCTATGGGAAAAAATTGGGAAAGAGAAAAATCGGTTGCTATGGCCAGATGGCTGGCTTACAGTAGTAAGATGATGGAAACAGTTGCTTCTTTTGTACCTTAGGCTGGTTCTAGCAATTTATGTACAAACAATAAATGTAAATGCCTCACGTAGCTTGTTTTTGGGCTATTTCAAATGCTTCAAGTAAGAAAATGATTAGAAAAATGTGCTAAGAAATGACAATAAGTGTCAATATCAGACAGATTTCCTCATATCCAGAATACTTTTTTTGTTCTGCCATCCTGAAAATACACTGGATGCCTTTAATACTATGTAAGTGGTACCTTTCTCCATGACATGCTGTTTGTGCAGTAGTTTCCAGCAGTCTATAGCCGTGCGGAATGAAGCCATCCCTTCAGGAGGCACCTGCCCGCTCTTACTCATCTGGATGTTCGCTCGACCTGACCTCTGACCTGCCTCGTCATCTGACGTGCCCTAACAGAAAATACATTGTAAAGGCAGGTTCATCTTCATGTTTTTATTTAAAAAATGTATACTTCAAAATAAGGCTAATTAAGGACTGTAAAGACAGATATTTGTTTATCTTAGACTCAAAAAATTTACTGTTGTACAGATTTGGGAAGCATTCATATAATAAAGCTTGTTCCACAGTGTATCAACAAATAAATATTTTATTTGGAGAACCAGCTTCAATAGGTAAGTTATTTGCAAAGTAAAGCTCTTTAAACAATAATTCAATGATACAGTTTGCTCTATGATATAGTGTGTAAAGAGAAACATAAAATGGGAGAGAGAGAAAGACAGAGATAGAGATATGTAGAGGGAGATACAGTCACACACACACATAGAGAGATAGAGCAAGACAGAAATAGAGATCTGTAACATTACATGTATAGAGAGACAGTCACAGAGAGAGAGAGAGAGAGAGAGAGAGAGAGAGAGAGAGAGAGAGAGAGAGAGAGAGAGAGAGAGAGACGAGACGTAACGTAACGTAACGTAACGT